TTTTTTTTTTTTTTTTTTTTTTTTTTTTTTTTTCCTTTAATTTTGCTTAGGAAAAAATCTTCTACAATTGACCCAAGTTCGATCCCTCCTTCATTGAAGCGTAAGGATGAGCAGTCCTGATCTTTCATGACCTGGTCACATGGAGAACTCAAACAACCTTTTCCTTCTTCTTCATCTGGGTATGCATCTTTCCTCATATTAAAGTGAGGTACGTCTTGCTTCAAATCATTAGTGACACTTTTCCTTTCCCTAGCATTCATCACTTGTCTTTCATTACATTTAAAAAAAAGTGGCTTCACATTTCTCGTGTTGGTTTCTTCTGTTCCCCACGTAATTTGTCTTCTCCTCTGAGGGGGCACATTACTACCTTCAATCTGCTCAATCGTTCGTGTGTGTGGATTCTCTATAAGCACCTTTCCCATGTGAGCACTTTCTAGTGCACTGCCGCATTCAGTTAAATCAGGATCACACCCCGATGTGCACTTGAATATGTGTTCCCCCTCCTGGTTACCACCAAAGAGGCTCCTTTTCAAATGAATCTGATTTATCCGGTGATCTGCCACGTATTTCTCTAAGTTAAGTGAGAAGGAAAATTTTCCGCAAGTGGGATCATTTCCCTTGTTTCCTCTTCTTCCTTCCTCGGCGCTTCCACTCTCAGCGTAATCTCTGGGCACTCCCCCCGTGGCGTGTTGCAGGTCTGCCTCTCTCCTCCGAACACTGCCACAGCTTCTACAACTGCTGCTACCGCTTAACCCTCCTAAGGGGAAGTCCAATTTATCCTCATAAAACGTCTGGTGAAATTTTTCCACGCCGTCTACACCGAGCGAGTCCGCTTCTGACATCTCCTCCATCCATTCCATTTTATCACTCCTTTCCCTCTTCACCGTGTGTACCGTTTCGGGTTCTATCCCTATGCTAGTTCTCTCCCTTGCTTCGTCAGTCCATTCCTCACACCCCCTCCTTATGCTTCTCTCCTTTTCCACCTCGACCTGGCATCTTCCTTTCTGAATAAGCTCCTCCAGCACAGACACCTCTTGGCCACTTTGCCCTAAAAAATGGCTTCTCTCAGGAACGGCGCTTCGTTGCATATCTTCTGTGAGCAGTACATTGCGAAGGGAGGGAAATGAGATGGCTGTTCCATCCTTCATTGCTTCATCACACGGTCTTCCTTTCTCTCTCTTTCTGATACTCCTTTTTGTACTCATTTTTGTGCGTACTTTGCTTGGGGGTATTTTTTCTAACCCATTCGTGGTGGGACTCTCGGGGGGGTCTTGTCCTCCAGGTGTTGAATCCGTTTTGCGAATTCTTCCTCCCTCTTGGTGGATATCACTCGGAGGAGAGGTCGTCTTGGATTCACTATTTGGCATGGCGCTGCTGACGTTGTTAGCTTCCTTGGCATCCCTGGCCCGCTTCTCCTTCTTGGGGGCACTGTCCCCGCAGTCGATCCCGTTAGCCAAATTTGCAAAGCAGTCGTCTTGTGTTGCAAGAAGAACCTCGTCCTTCATCCTGACCTGCCATTCTTTCTCTACTTTACGCAGACCACCTCCTTTCTCACTTCTAACCCGTTTAACCCCTTTAGAGCCTTTCTGAGTTTTGCCTTTTTTTTTCGTTTTTCCCCCCGGAACGGCTCCACAAAGTGCGACACTGCAGCCGCTTCGGGCCTTAAAATTGGAATTCCGTGTTTGGGGAGAAAATACACATCCTTGTCTCTCCCTCCCCACCACCACGTCGCACTTGTGTAGATTGCACGTTACCCTCTTCAGAGTTTTCCCCTCCCCATCAGTCTTTGTAAGTCCCTTTTTTCTTTTCTTCCTAATGAGCATTTGCAAAACAGCATATGATGATGGGATTTTTTTTTTTTTTTTTTCTTCGTCTTTTATATTCCCCTTGTCGTAATGGTGGATTTGGCAACTATTTCTTTTCACTTTTTTTTTTTTTTTTTTTTTTTTTTTTTCACTCCACGTGGAGTCACCGTTGTGATTAACTAAAGAGGAGGAGCTCTTTGCTGGGAGACCACTTCTTCCCTGCGCCTTTTCTCTTCCAGGTTGACATGCTGCCTCTTGGGTGTTATTACCCACATGCGGAGCCACCTTTTTACTCGTGCCGTTCGTTTGAACTGTGGAAGCGTCTAATGGGTATGTGTTCTCCTTGCCCTGATTTTTGGTAGAAAAAATTTTCTCGCAATGTTGAGGCGTTTTCGTTGATTGGCTACGTTTCTTCTGTCCTACAATGTTTTTTTTTTTTACTATCTTTTCATTTTCTTTTTTTTTTTTCTTTTTTTTTTTTCTCTCTTCCTTGCCCGTTGGGGAACCATATCCAGCCTTGTCCTTGTGTGTTGTGTCGGTCGACTTTGTGCCAATCGTGTTTGCAGTGGAATGCGTCACCCCTCGGCCAATGACAGAGTCCTCTGTGTGTAGATGCGGACGTTGGAGCACACCATCACTACCTTTCTTCTTCACAATTTTTCCTCTCCTCTCCTTCTCAAATGGGAAGTTGTCCCTGCTTTTAGAGTGCTGTTCAAAACGGTTCGTATCCCTTTTGTCCCCATTGCTAATTTCATGAAGAGTTTCCTCCCCTTCTGTGGACACTCCACCACAAGGATGATTTATTTTGAAGTTTTTTTTTAATTTCCCTAATGTTGTTCCTTTCATTTGAGATATTCCTACCAATTTGAGAAAGGCTTCGTTTTTGTTTCTTCCACCGCTGGTATTTATATGAAACTTATTATTAATCTTTTCTTTCGGTTCAAGGCAGGGTACTAGTGACACCTCACCACTCACTTTGTCCTCTACCACCTTCATCATGCTGTCCCGGTGACTCTCCTCACTCACCAAATAATTAAAATGCGAATTGTTAATGAAGTTTCTACTAGGACACTCCCAAAGGGACGCTGACGTCGAGTTGCTTCCATTCTCGAGGGTAAATGGATTTATATAAACCTTCTTCTTCTTCTCCTCCTCCTCTTTTTCACCTAAACAGGGTGCGATTAAATTTTCCGTATGATCACTTATGTGTGCATCGTTTGTGTTCTCATCTGTCTGCCTCTCCCCCTCATCATCACTCCTTCCATCTTGTTCAACACTGTGTGCACTTGTCCACAAAGAATGCTTTTTTATTTTTATTCCACTACTAAGTATGTGATTGTCCTTTTTGCGTCTTCCAACACTGATGTTGAAGTCAATCCCCTTCAAGATGGGTGCCCTGTTTTTATGTGAACAATTGTTCTCCATTTCGTGTTGTCCTAGCTGGGGGGTACACCACCCGATACACTGCTCATTTGTACGTTCTAGGTCGATATATTCATCTCCTTCTAATCCATGTGCCCCCTGCTCATCACCAACCACATCTCTCACGCAAGAAACATCTTTCTCCATCTGTTCCACCAGATGAGGAGTTCCGTTTTCTGCATTTACAAAATTAAAAGTGTGTAGCATGTTACCTTCCATACATGTGTGGCACTCTGTCTTTTGTCCCTCCCAACTGTTGGAGGAGGTGCAGCATCCCTGGTCTCGGTCAAAAATTTCCTTCAAATTTATTCTGTCCAGGTAGCCACCATTTGATTTCATCTTTTCTGAGTCTTGCGAAATGAGGAACAGGTCATCACTTATGTTTAGGTGATCATCGCTGTGGTAGGACACTTGAGAATAATTTATTTGTGGCTCCGCTTCGGTTACGTATTTGGGTACCTTGTGTGTTACTCGTTTAGAAGACTCTTTTTTCACTTTTGTGCCCACATGATCTTCCGCTGCACCAGGAGCAACCCTCTCATGGGGAAGAAGCCCTCCCATCCTCCTTAAATCTGCGTAGTTGTTACTGTAGCATATTTTAATGCGTAGGTCATTCGTAAGGATGAGGGGGTTCACCGACCTACTTTCCTGTTCAGCATTCAAGCTGTGTGATCTCCTCTTTCCCCTGACCACGGCTTCATTTACCCGAGAGCCGATCCATGTGATGGACTTGCTCCCCTGGATAGAGGTACCAGATGAAGATGGGACAGTCCCCATCATTATATCATCATCACTGCTCCATGTGTTGATCTTTCCATGGCTCCTTTCTCTTCCTTGTTCGCAATTCGTAACGTGGTCATATACACACGATGCGCCCACTTGGTAGGTGTTGCTTGAAAGGGGTGGGTGCAGCAACGAGCTGCTCTCTTTCTCACATTGCTGTGCCTCCTCAGGCGCATCCCCGCCATACGCGCCCAATTGGCTACCCACATAAGTGTAGACGTGCGTGTTCATAACGCCGCATCTCATCTCACGCTCCAACTGTACTGGAACCCTACCCCCTGTGCCGCTCCCCCCCAATTGTTCGTGGCTAGTCCCCCCCGAGAGTCTTTCTCTGACACTGCACAACAGTTCCTGGCGCTTGTCTTCTATGCGGCTTCTAACAGTGGCGCTCGAGTGGTTTTGTTCCCCTTTGCCCCTTTCTCCGTTCTCTTTTGTTTTGGACTTTCCTTTTTCGTTTTCCCTCCCTCTTTCTTTCATTTTCCCTTTCTCCCTTCTGGGACATCCTGGGGAGATCTCGCCCTTTCTCCTGCTCCTCATCCTTATGCAACAGGCTCCCCCAGCGAGGGGGCCATTCTTCCTACCACAGCTTCCCCTTTTTAAGTGCATCTTCTCTCTCCCGGTAATGTTTCTTCTAAGAGTGACACTCCCCATCCTTTGGCCAACTCCCCCCCTTTGCTCACCCTTTCCTGCTACGGGGTTCATCCTGCTCGGTGGTTTCTTCACCACATGTTTAATTTTGGTAGGCTCTATCCCCTTACTGGTAGCGCTTTTCACACTTGTCCTAATTTGGGGTTTTACCTTGGGGATACTTTTGACTTTCCCTATTGGAGTCCTCCTCCTGTGCACACTTCTCGAGTGAAACCCCTGTTCGCTTTTCTTCCATTTTGTCTCACCCCTTAGAGGAACACAATGGAAGGGAGGGTGAGGAGTTGCCACTCTACTGATCGTTTTTTTCACAAAGGACGATTTACAATTCTTTGTATCCTTAACGCATTCCTTAACTCTGTTAAGAGACATTATGGTTTTGTTCCATCCCTTCATGGTTACCATTTTACAACCTCTTTTTAATTCGCTCACGAGGGGTCCTTTCAGGTTATGTGTATCCTGTGTGGTTATTTTTCTCACGCTGGGGGCTTCCACTGACTTTTCTCCAAGTTTGTTTTTCTTCTTCACCTCGTGTGGGGTGCTTAGACACGGGGCCAGACGAGGGTTCAAATGATTACCTAAATGAATTCCCACTAGGAGTGTACCGTTCGAAGTGGCAAGCCTGTTTTTTTCCCACCTCACACACTTCTTCTTGCTTTCCATTTTGTCTTCTTCTTTTCTTTTCGCATCATCATTTTTGGCTTTTCCACAGGGGGTCATCTCGGTCTTCTTCAGTGGGTTTTTTTTCTCCAATCCCCTTGAGCTAAGCGACTTCGCCTCGCTCACCATAATCATGTTGGTCGCATCCCACTTCCATGTCCTTTCCCCATCAGTGTGCCCACCTTCCTTTGACCGAACATGTTCCTCCTCCTCCTCCTTGTCCTCCTCTTCCCATGGATCCAACTCGGTGATAGAAATGTTTGGACCTGAATTGACCTGCTGCCAGTAGGCATTCGCCTCCCTGGACCCCGACTCCTCTTCCTCGAGCTGCGCGTGGTGGTTGCGGATGCTACGTGCGGTCATGTCTTTCATTCATCTTTTGGGGGGCACAAAAAAATGGTATACAAAATGGACATACAAAAAAAAAGGTATACAAAAACAACGAACAAGTGGACACCGGCCCCAGTTGCGTCAACTCGTACAAGTGGGAGGAAACTTCACTCCCTCCTGTTGAGACAAAGTATTCCGCTGAGAAATCGCTTAAGACTTTCTCGAGGGAAAAATTGACGAGCTTGGCCAGGAAAGAAAAAAATAACAAAAAAAGAACAAAAAAAAAAAAAAGGAAGAAACGGAATGAACGAGAAACAAAAAAAAGCATTGCAGCGCGAACGTTCTTATGCCGCACGCTAACATGTCGCCTCTCGTGAGAGGGGGGCCACACTCCTATATTGTGAAAAAAAATGGGACATGCCATGGACGCACGCACAGACCAGTTGTGCACCCCGCGTCATTGATTTGTTCCGCGCGTTTCCCCCACACGGTGGTGGTTAAGCGCACTTGTGGTAACGCCAATCGCGATGATAATATCACAGCGACAGTCGCGGCGTTGGGACAGGAATCGTTACTAAGTGTCATGTTACCTCTTTGAACATTTTTGGGGGAGGGGGAGGAAAAAAAACGTCACCACATGTTGAAGGAACAGTAAAAAGAGTGCTAGGCGGGCATACACCCAAGTGGCAAACGCACAGGTGGAAATACATTCACCTCATTTTGTGCACCTTTTCACTGCAGCCGCACACGAATTGTAGGCCGTGGCGCGCCACAGTATTGTGAGGCGGAACCGAGGCGTGTTGCCACGCCAATTTGGGGGAGTGCCAGTTGTGGGCGCAAAAAAAAAAAAAAAAGCAGATTATATAAAGGGGGGACAACCCAAATGGAGGAAATTTGTGGGTAGGCAAAGCAAAATGAAAACAAAATTGGAGGAGCACAGTGGTAAGTCAGAAAAAAATAAACGCGAGTGAAAAGCAAAGTTGACACTGTTACAATTTTCGCATGTAGCGCGTACAATGCCTGCCCAAGTGGATGGGCCCCAACCGGCAGGAAAAAACGGTCCCCAATAAAAAATATATATATATATATATATATGTATATATGTTTTTTCCCCTTTTTTTAACTTTATTTATATATATATATTTTTTTCCTTTTTGATCCCCTGTTTGGACGCTTCAACAGACACTCCTCTCCTACCCCCGCAGCATCGCCAAGCAGAAAATGTAAGAAAAAAAAAAAAAAAAAAAAGGCTCCCCCCCCCCAAATTTTATTCGTCGCTCCAAATTTACACACGTTGCAATAAGCCTTCGCAACGGAGAAGATGAAAGGCAACAGAGATGACCCGATTGGGGCAAGCCCAGATGGGGATGACAAGGAAGGGGAAAGCCCCAAAGAGCATGAACGCGACCAAAGCGAGCGACAGTCAAACAAACGAAACAAAGGAAAACAAGTCGATCAACTAAGCATGGAAGAAACAGATGAAAACACAATCATCCCCTACTACCTGTCCAATCTACTAACTAACGCATCAAACCCAGTGGTCTTTATGGACATAAATCTGGGCAACCATTTCTTAGGCAAATTTAAATTTGAGCTGTTCCAAAATATTGTGCCCAAAACAAGCGAAAATTTTAGACAGTTTTGTACAGGCGAATACAAAGTAAATAACCTGCCAGTGGGATACAAAAACACCACCTTCCACAGAGTGATAAAGGAGTTTATGATTCAGGGGGGAGATTTTGTGAACTACAATGGAAGTGGGAGCTTAAGTATATATGGAGAAAATTTTGAAGACGAAAATTTTGATGTAAAGCATGACAAAGAAGGATTACTCAGCATGGCTAATAGTGGCCCGAATACAAACGGGTGTCAGTTTTTTATTACCACCAAGAAATGTGAATGGCTCGATGGGAAAAATGTCGTTTTTGGAAGAATCATAGATAACGATTCTTTAATTTTACTTAAAAAAATTGAAAATGTTTCTGTCACTCCTTATATTTATAAGCCAAAAATTCCCATCACTATCGTCGAATGCGGGGAACTGTAAGAGATGGGGGGGGGAGAGAGAAGCGGGCCAGTTACAGCGGCCTACTTCTCTCTGCACAGAGTTTTTACCCCGCACGGACGAAGAGAAAATCGTCCCTTTTGTTTTTTGTGTTTCTAACTTGGCTTCGCCTCGTTACGTTATATATCTTCCTTTTTTTTTTATTTCCATTTTGGAGCGGTGGCACCCTTCTAAAAGACGCAGTTGCAAACACCTTTTTAAGGTATAAATAGAAAAAGGAACAGTCAAAGTTCAGCTAACGCTTTATCTTATGTTAAAAGTACGCACACAAAAAAGGAACCAATGCAGGCACGTGCTGACACACGGAGCACCGGTTCGGGGTTGTACAAAAAAAAAGGGCATACGATGGGCGCTGCGCGGTAGGGGCATTTTATTCCTGCATGTGCCCTCGCTTTTTCACACACCCCGTTGCCTTAAAAATTAAATTTTAAAAAAAAAAAAAAGAAAACACACAGGAGAAGTGTACGCAAATTGGAGATTCGTACTACACGTACCCAAAGTTGTATGGATGGTACCCCTTTTGTGCATGTCTCGCCCGGGCACTATAGGCGTGGGCATTAATTGTTGAACCATTCCTTGGCCTTCAGAAATACCTCATTGCCAGCCGCAACGATATTGGACAGGCCCTCCCTTGCCGTCACCTTGAGGCCTTGTAAATTCTGAATCGTCTGTTCATCCAAATTCCACACACCCTTCCTGTTATTGACATTTCTATTAAAATATTGATCAGACGAAATGCTATTCGTTATATGTACATTTCGTATGACGTCGTCATCATTCTGGTGCCTCTCATCATAGAAGTACTGATCTGAACGTATGCTCTTGCAGTCTTTAAATTTGTTTAACTTGGAATCACTTGTTGGATTCAAATGGCTGTTGCCGTTAATACTACTACTTCCCATGGAGTTATTTCCTCCTATAGCGCGACCGCCTGGGTAACATAACTCCCCTCCGGGGGGACACCTCGTGTCATATCCTCCCACTTCGCTCTCGTTCCTGCCGAGACCCTGCACACCGCCATAACTAGCAGCGCCACTTCCTCCATGCATACTAAACGCCTCGTCGCTAACACCAGGGTGCGCACTCCTCCCGTCCCTTGCAGTACCCTTCCCGCTGTGCTCAAATATCGTATCATCAAAGTTGATGTCTATTTTTTTGGCCTTGAAATTTTTGTTGCAATTTTTGTACATCATTTTTTCTTCGATCATGTGTGTCGGCGTGAGGCTTCTGCTGGGGATACCACCCCTGACCTGACCACGACTTGCAAAGGCGCCGCCCGTCTCGTTCGCTTCTCCCCTAGGAAGTTCATTTGGACCCTCTATCTTCCTCGCGTCGTCGCTAACTAAATCGATTAGAGGCTTCGTGCCGGTTAAGCTGTTCATCTGGCTGACATTACCGCCATGTGCATCCGCCCCGTCATTGCGATATTTTTCTCCACTTCCATGCGTTAACAATGCCTCCTCCAACTGGCCGTCCAAATACATTTTATATTTCATACATGCATGAGATGAATAATCAATCATGCTAGTGCTATTGTTCATTTTTAAAAATTCACTTGCCTTTAAATTTCCTCCAAGACACATCCTAACCAACTGCTTCGCTGTAAACTTATCCATTCCTGTTGACCGCACAAACGATATGTGCGTCCCTAATTGTCTATGCTTACCTGAACAGTTCAGGCAAATAAATATGGCATACGTCAAAGACAGCCATTTGGGATTTTTATTACCGCAGTCGAAGCATATTTTATTTTCATTTTTGCTCAAAATGGCTTTAAACGTTTTGTCCTTTAGGCCATCCAGTACGTATCCCCTGTCGTCCTGTTCATATGCCAAGATCTCTGTAATCATGTCCTTCTTCATTGTTGCGTGTGGAGCATTAAATCAGTTTCCAGTCGTGGACGTTCAAAATCTAATTAATCAAAAATAGCTATCTGCACCAGAAAAAAAAAAAAAAAAAAATACGTAGACACATGTACAGCTGTAAACTCTTCTGTAAACACATACGTATACATATGGCACATGTACACACACCCATTCGCGCGCGCTGTTGCATACCTTTATAAACCTGTTTTGGGCAAATCTCCCTATACACAGTTTAATACACATATACATTCGAGCACCGCTGGGAGAAAACAGTTATGTGCTTTTCCACTTCGATGAGCCAGCCGCCAATGGTACACATATGTGCGTACACATTTGAGTCAAACAAACTGCACGTCGGGACATGTGCCACGCGATGGAGGAGGAGAATTTTTATGTACTTTTTACTCTTCAGTTTAGTTAAACTCCACAAGCATGTTTTCCCTTCGTATGTGCGTTTACGTCCACGCGTCTCTCGTCTTCTTTACGATCGTCTTGACAATTCGGTATACGTGAATATGTCTCCTTTTAACGGCTGGTTATTTTGAAATGCTTCAACTTTTTTGCAAAATGGAACGACGAACGTGTTTTTTTTTTTTTTTTTTTTCTCTTCAATTTTTGCGATTATAAAATGGGTACAGGTGATTAAATACAATGTAAAATGGTACATTCATGTCACCGCGCTGGGCGATTTATATTTAACCATGTAAGGTGCGCGGGCAGTTGCAGGCTGCGCATGTGCGTGCGTACGTGTTGTGTACGTATGTAACTATATGTTCATACCTGCACGTGTGTACTTTTGCATGTATCGTATGCGCACTTTTCCACGCCTATAAAAACGCGTCGCGTGGGGACTACTACATAACCATGTTCAGCGCGTAAGTGTGATCAAAATATTCACCTACGCCGGGGTGGTTACATGCCCATAATGGTATACGCGTACATAAAAGAAAAAGCGGAACAGTAGTAGTTGGTGCGCTCCACTTTCTGAGATCAACTGGATGCGCTTTCAAAATATGCATTTACGCAAAGCTGATTTTGCGAGAAAAAAAGCCTCCTCTCCTTTTTTCAACGCAGAGTTATTTTCCCTCTGTTCATTTACATATGCGTGGGGAGTAAAAAAAAAAAAACTAAGTTCAAAAAAAAAAGGAGGGATGAACTCAGGAGATGCAAATCGGAAAGCAATGATGAAAGGCAAATCAGAAAGTAATGATGAGAAGCAAATCAGAAAGTAATGATGAGACGCAAATCGGAAAGTAATAATGAGAGGCAAATTGGAACGAAATAAAAACATATACAAAGGAACAAATGTCGCCCATACAAAAATGTTTATCAAATGGTCATACATTTCATATGTAACTGTGCTTTGTCATTCACTTGCGCGATTGATTGGTGCCTCTGGATGGTACCACTCGGTAATGCTATGTCATTGTTCCTCATTGCATTGTGAAGCGTATATACAAAACGCATCGCTTTAAAAAAAAAACATTGCAGCGCAGGGGAGTTCACGCACTGAGCGAAGAGGGAGCGCGCACAAGCTGGGCGCCGGTAAATGAAAAAAAAAAAAAAAAACAATTAGCGCCAAAATTGTACTCCATACAAAATGCGCTCCAGAAAAATGTTCTTCACAAAATGCACTTCAAAAAATATTCTGCACAAAATAATACTTAATGCAACATGTACGACATCACCACAAGAAACACCATGTTACGAATTGTGACTGCCTTCCGATAAAGGTCAACAGCACAGTTCCTCCTCTCCTTTCGTAGGACCATCCCACAGCACAACATCACTTAATTTTTTCTGCGCAAGTTATATTTAGGAAAGGGCAAAAGCTACCTTTTTGCCTTGTCGAATTTTTTTTTTTTTTTTTTTTTTTTTTTTTTGGTGTGTGTACCTCCCCTGTAATAACATGCCCTTTTCTACATACAAAGGTTTGTTGTTTAATGTAAAAAATGCGAAACGAACAGGGGCAACCTAAACGGAGGACGGGGACATGTGCGACTCCCATCTCCCCTCCGGCATACATTTCAAACGTAAAAACCGCACCTTCAGCGTACCACGTGTAGGTGGGTACCTACACGTTAATGTTCATCCATGACACAAAACGGCAGTGCGTTTTTATTTTATTTTTCATTTGCATACCAGGTGTGCTAGTTCAGTTTGTGACGCACGGTCTCGCGAGGGGTCTCCCCGCCCAATTTATATAACACAATTGCACATGTACAGTTGATAGATGGGAAAGGGGCCCCCGCGTTTGTGTGACATCATCGCGCGTCCGTGGTAATTATTAATTATTATATGGGTAGCGCGACGAAGAGCTTGCGCTTTCGAGAAAATGGAGTGCACAAAAAAGGAGAAATAAAACTAAGGGGGCATGCTCTCAGGGACGGTTTACACAGTATGCAGAAACTTCAAAAAAGACTTGATTCCCTTGTTGAACTTCTTGTTCTCAATCAACTCGATGTCGTTGTGCTTGCCGCCTACAACCCAGTAGGGATGCACTTTCAGTTTACACTTTTCATAGAGGCTCTTCGGGAGGGGGAAAGTGGGGGAAAAAAAAAAAAAAAAAAAAAAATGAAATGAAAAAATTGTGTGTTACGCTTTTCTGGGACGCGGAAAAGGGACAAAAATAATCAACCCCACAAATGTGCGAATCAGTAAAACGAGTTAATCGTGGCGACTTTCACGCGTGGAACAAAACGACGCTCAGAATTTTGCCCACACAAAAAAGCAAGCGGGTGGATACACCCAGCTTTGTTACAAAAAGGAATCACACGTATCACATCCATACAGTGCAAGTTGCGCCATTTCCCCCTTTTTTTTTTTTTCTCCGTTCCGTTTTTACCAGTCCGTGATAAAAGGGGACTATCTTGTCGTCAGTGCCGTGGATGAAAAAGGCGAAGCAGGGAACCATGCCGATCTGGGAGAAGGAAAAAAGACATGGGTTTTGTGTTTTGGGGCCTTCCACAAGTACACCCATATGTACGTATATACATATTTACATGTGTATGTGTGCACGTCCTTCCCGTGCGACGCGGCACACGTGGAGCCATTTGACAGCAGCGTCGGAGTGGGAGCACCGGACATACCTTCTTTATGTTGCAGAAAGAATCGAACGGAAGGATAAACCGCGTTTTAAAGCAAATGTTCAGGATGGACATTAGGGCACTCTGCAGAATTATGCCTTTTACCTTTCTCGTGATGGCTATGTCGATCGCAGCACACGAACCTAAAATGGGAATAAAAAAAAAACAAACACACACTCCAATTTGCACGTGCGATTTTTACTCCGTTTTGTCATCCCCATCTGCAGCATGATAGAAGCAGTGCCACCCTCCGTTCTTTCTCATATTTCAAACCTATGGACTTCCCGTACAGCACAATGCTGTCTGCATTTATATTTAAGACGTGCACCATGTAGCTGCCGGAAAAGTGAAAAGAAAAGGCGGGGCGAATGAAGCGGTGCGGCAATCATGAGTACAAGTAGGGGCCCTTTAGAAAAAAAAAAAAAATATGACTTACTCATACACGGCTCTTCCACTTTGGTACATACTCTGTTCGTTAGGAGTTCCGGTGCTCTCTCCATATCCTTTTGTTTTGTTGTTGTTTGCGTCCCATTTTGTGAAACAAAAAAAAAATATATATATATGAATAGTTAAGGTAGGAAGGAGCATAAAAAGGTAAAAGAGGGTATCAAAATGTGGAAAATGTGGAAAATGCGCAAAATACGAAAAAAGCGAAAAATGTACGGCGTGATGGAAAAAAAAAAACGTGCGAGGCGCAGATCAAAGGTTTGCGCTTCCACGCGTATCTCCCACTCCGTCTTTTGGGCCTACCAGGGTAATCGTACAATAAAACGTTCACATTCCATATTTTGGACGTCTCGCGAAAATAATCATACAACATGTAGATGTTCTCACCATTGCCATGGCAGAACAAAATGGTTAGTGGGGCTTTCCTAAGGGGAAAAAAGGGAGCGTCAAGTTGTTAAGAGGGGGTGTGCCTCTGGCGACGGGCCGAAAAAGGGCACCCCGTAGTCACCACGAACTGCCCAATCGTGCACACACGTATGCATGTATGTATATATATACGCATGTGCGACGCACCTATTGATGAAGTGGGCAGCAATTCTGTCCCCGCTCTCCGTTTCAACAAAAATAAAATCCAAACGGAATTTTTCGTAGCACCCCTCGATGGGGTTATTAAAAATAAACCGATTCAGGCTGTTCCCCATAATGCCACTGAACGGAAGAAGACTTTTCTTTTCTCTCTCCGGGTCGTAAATACTGGTGCACACAATTGTGCAAAGTACACACAGTTGCTAATCTTCAGAGCTGTTTTCTTTTGCAAGTTCGAGTCCCTTTTGCATTGCACCCATCGTTATTTCGCAGTGCTCATAGTACAACGGGGTACATGCCCGGGGCAGTCAACATACCCATGCATGTATGTTTCTACCAACGTACGCACATGCGCATGTATCTACCCACATATGTATGCACACAGGTATGTGGCAACTCTCTCTCGCGTGCGTACATCTAGATGCTACACAATGAGCACTACGCACCAAGCCAACACTGCCACAAGCTACACAGGTGTTACACCGTTAATTTTGGCCCAGAAATGCGCTAGAATACCTCCACTTACAAATCATCCAGGCGTTAAAATGTATACATATATATATACATACACTTAGTAACAGAAAACAAGTGCACTTCCTACCGATCTAAAACAAGAAAACACTCGATTTTTAAAAAGTTAGGAAAACCTGGAGTATAGTTGCACCTGCATCGGGGGAAACCCTTTCGTGCGCAGCTTGAAGAAAAAATATGGCATTATAAATCTTAAAACAGCTACGAAGAATAGAAGTACACATTTTCTCGGCAACGATGAGGAATTCCCATTTTGTTCAAAATTGCTATGTATTTATTATGCATCGGATCGAGAAATTTTTTGTGCATTCAGTGAATACTACACTGACACATATATATATGTATACACCAAGAAGAAATTAAAGAAATGTGCGAATAAGCACTAGCCGTGTGGTACACCCTCTATGCTAACATTGGATTGACGCTCTTCTTAAAGGGTCACGAGCGCATGTGTTAACGTGTAAAAATGAGTATAAAATAAAAACGCAAAAAAAAAAAGGAACAAAGAGGAAAGAAAAGCACAACAAATGTGCACATAACTTCACGCATAACTGCAGCATTCTTCCAACTGCTGGCAGTACTTAGAACGAAGAGCAATATAATTTTCGGAAAATTTTCACCATCCCTGCACACTTATGACACCACGAGGGTAATTTCCGAATTTAATTTGTTTCTCCGATTTATTTCAAAGTTAAGAACAGCGCAAAAAAATTACCCATTTTGTTAGGCAATACCAAAATGTATACAAAGCGATGGCCCCTTTTCTAAACGCCCTTCTTCCTTTGATTTTGTACTTTTAAAACTTTGCTGGAGTTTGCTCTTCCCTTTTTATCCCTTTCGAAACTGAATTCATAAAGCCGCATTAGCGTTGTGACTGTGTCCGTATTCAAAGGTGTGGGTAATTTCTCATCTCAAAGTTGCAACCCAGGTAGCCAGACAAGCAGGCAGAGAGGGTGCGCATAAACATGCCAATATGAGCAAGCCATTTTTTTTTTTTTTTTTCCAAAAATTACATGACTCGTTCATGACATTTTTGTGAAAAATATGATACGTGCAGGTAAAACGACACGCCGCGCCATCAGGAAGCCAAAATGTTGCTCAATCCGTTGTCTTTTAGGAAAAAAGGAAGGGAAAGATCTATTTTCATGTTGGCACAAAAAACAGCCATTTTCATGTTAAAAAAAAAAAAAAAAAACTACCATCGCAGCATTTTTTCCTAGCACATGTCAACAACAATCCCACGTGGTGTGCGCAACGTCAACGTTCTGATTGTGTGTTTTGCAAAAATGGAAATCAAGCGGAATACATATGCGAACGCACATACGTATGTTGTACACGAGTACGTTTGAAAACTGGAAAAAGCGGTTCCAATTTTAAGGCGTGGAAGCGTAAACTGTGAAAATGTTCTTAAAAAAAAAAGGCCACCATGTTTTTCTTTTTTTTTACAAAATTGTGTGTGCAATTTTTGAAAGTGTAAAATATTTCTACAACATGCACTTACGCTTGTTGCTTCTTTTTTTTTTTTTTTTTACACGTAAAGTGGAACTAAAATTTCTACAATGTTTGCCTTCCGCAGTACCAGCAACGTGCACAGATACCTACGCATTTTTCGTCCTTTTAACGTGATTGAAAAAATAAATCTTCAAAAAATATTTTTAAGATTAATTCGAATGGGTCTTTTTGTTTTATGTATGCGCTAGAGCATTCAGCAGGGGATGATCTGCACAACAGCATATTGCCATTTGTGTTGCACAAACGCGTGAGCGCAGTGCATTTTTTTTCTGTGAATTTTTGTTTTGTTCCTCTTCCCCGCAGTGTACACACAACCTGCTTCTTTTGCCTTTTTATTTCTATTTTGAAGCTGCCCCCCATAAGTTTGTTTATTGGAGGCCTCTTTTGAATTACACTCTGCGGCATAATTAAATTAAATGAAAAAAAAAAAAACGAGTACACATTAACTTTGCAAACGGCCACACGCACGTATGCATGTACCTTTCTACATAGACAGAGAGATAGATAGACGCACACACAACTATCACTACTTTCAAAAAAAAAACAACTCGCTAAGGTGTACTCGAATGAGAAGCAACCCCAGCAAAGCTGACATTTAAATCACCCAAGCAAAAAAGAAAACAAAACTCACTCTAGTATGAGGGCCGCGCATCCACTGAAGTTCCCCGGGGGCCACTTCATGTTCCCAAAAGGTCCTGCTGCCCCAGTAGGAAAACCGAATGATGAAAAGGAGAAATATGGAGCTAGCCTAAATAACCAAAGAAAAATGAAGGAGCCATATGAAGGCGTAAAAAATAACAGGTATGAATATTTAGATGCTAGCCACTTGGAAATGCTGGACCTGAACAAGAACATTCAGCACATCCTACCCAAGCCCGTGAAGCCATCCTTAAATTTGGAAAGTCTATGCAAAGAGACGAATGCCATACTGAGGAATAGCAGAAGGGCCAAGGGCGCCGAGCTGCACCCCGTGTCGCAGCAGCAACAACATCAGCAACAACATCAGCAACAGCAACCGTGGCAACCGCACCACGCGCAACAGCCGTTGTACCAGCAACAACCGCTTCAGCCGGGACCAGAGCACAAAAACGTAAAACACCTGTATGAACTGGGGCTGCCCCAAATCATAGGCACGTACATTCAGCCACTAAGCAAAAACAACGAAGGTGTAAAGGACTCTCTAGGAAATAATCCATTCCCCCTGGGATCGACATCCCCCTTTTTCCAGCCACCCAAGTATTTGCCCAAACAGATGCAGCAATCCACCAACAAGTTTTTGCCCCTACAGTTAAACAATGAAAGAAAAAACTTATATGGACTGCCGTCTTACCTAATCCCTGAGGACAAACCTAAAAGCTTGACAGTCACGGTTGTGCCAAATAAGGACAAGGACCTTCTAGAGAAGGAAGCAAAGCAATTGAAGTTATTGCTGGACAGTTCGTCTCAAGGAATTGTTAACTCTACCCCCGATTATCAAAAAATTATTTCCTACTCCATGCAGTCCAGCATTGATGATGGGAATACAAGCGGGGGGAGCCACTACAACTGTGGAGATAATGGCAGCCTCAGGAATGGACACAACGACATAGAGAGCGACTTCAGCTTTGGAAGGAACGAAGATGTGAGAGACGAATTTTCCGGCGAACACGACGCGGAAAATGATAACGACGATTCCTTGTTTAATGAGTTATATGATGCCAATAATGTCACGCCTTACGGAAAAGCGAACGAAGGGGGGGTCAGCGATGCACGTGGTGATCACGAACGCGGTTATCACTCACAATTAAGCGAGAAGCATCATGACAGGGTGAATAAAAATGCGATTTATAAAGGAAGGAGCGTTAATAGCGCACTGGGTAATGGGTCGGATAGAATTAGTGCATTGGAGAGGAAGGAACAAAATGGACCAGGTGGACATACGCAAAGCGAAAACGGGGAAGACGGTAATAATAACTCTCCTGACGGGGTCATGAGACAAGTGAACAAGGTCTCACCATCGAAAAAAACCCTTCTGGCTAGAAAAAAAGAACACAGTGAAACTCCCTTGAAGAACCTTGAACCATCTACCTGCTTTAGAAATCCCAAAACGTATGTAAATATACGTTTAGGGAAACCCAAAAAGTTTTATGTGACCAACAGTTCTGACCCTATTGATAAAAAACTGAAGGATTGGCACAACACGCATAATAGCCAAGTAGGATGGAAGAAAAGCCGGAGAGGTGTTTACACCTTTGGCAGGACGGAAGTTGTTCTAAGTTTGGTTCACGACAAAATTATTGTTAAAAATATTAACGGCAAATACGTGAAGGATAATTTGTTGAGTGTCGAAAAGTTCGTCTCACTGAATGAGTTGTTTGAGCTCCATCGTGAGCAAACTGATAATCTGCTCAAGAGGAAAGCGGCTCAAACTTTCCTATTTTAAAAGTGGTGAAAAGGTGTAGTTTTCGAGTTGTGCCTTGTTCGCAGGGAAGCGCACAAGGGGGGGAATGTGTTTTGTGTGTGTATGGCTGGGTCGCCTGTTTTTGCAGCCCTCCCCTTTGCCACGCCCCTTTCCGAGTATACCGATAGAAACACTGTTTATTTTATTTTATTTTTTTTTTTTTGCTCTACCCACAAGCACGCCATTCGGTGGACCCCTCCACAATTGTTTATTTTGTTATTTACTTTTACTTTTCAAATTGTAAATTTGTGCCCCGCTGGGGTGCGTCTGTCTAGGTGTACATTTGCCCACGCGTGAGCACAAGTTGGCCCCTTTTTCTGGCCCACACGAATTCGTGTTCATCTGGAAGAAAAAATAAAGAATTGTATATTTAAGACTTTGCAAATTGGGAAGAGTTTTATCTGAAAAGATATTCTTTCTTTTTTTTTTTTTTTTTCCCTTGTAACAGTTTTTTTAAAAAAACGGGTTGTGTGTGCAACTAGCGCAAATTTTCATTTACCGTTTAACGCAGCTGAACTTAAAACTGTTGTCTAAACATTTGACGCATTTTAAAGGTGGTGTGACGTTTTTTATAAAGCGCGCCTTTCCGGATGAATATGCACAATGGATGGAGAGCTATAATGCCCTGTTGGTGCGCTCTACATGACAGTTTAAATAACGCGTGGCAGGGGGAAGATAAACCCATGCTTATACTAAGCATATGTTCTTAAAACAACCTTAGTTGCATAATTCTGCAAAGGGGTACTTTTACCCCATTTTGTGATGAATAACACAATTCCTCTTCACCCAGTCCATGCGACGCACATGAACGTTTTAAAGTTCCATGCTACGAAACTTCATTTTGCGTGTGCAAAAAAAATAGGCTTGTTCGGCTATTTTAACATTTGCGCCCATTTGCAAAGTTGCTACCTACATAATTGATATAATTAAAAAACAAGAATTGTCCCTCTTCACGTATTTTTTTATAAATAGCTAAAATTTATATCGAATGCATCAGTCACGTCGTGTTAAAAAATACAGAATGATTCTCCATGTGTAATCGCATAAGTCGCTCATGTGGCATTCTGCTGTGCGTGTGTTTATGTAACAATTTTTACGAGATAATTAATTTGAGAAACACCATTTTTGTTTTTAGCTTTTTCGCTTTTTTCTCTTATTTTTTGTGAGCTTTATTTTATTTTTTTTTTTTTACTTTGGAGGGTCAAAAAGTCAAGTGTAACGATGTACGATTGTAGTGTACCGCGTAACATGTTGCGTCTCTTATCGATCTGCAAAAATGCGCGTTCACGAGAAATGCTGCATATGTATAGGTGTACATGCATATGAAGGAGTATAAGTGTGTATATACGTACAAACCATATGTGCTTGCATGTAAAACATTAGCAAATTCGGGAAGCAAAAAATTCGAAAGTGCGATTATTTACCCTCCAAGCTAATATTTTCGCTTTATCATGCTTAAAAAAAAAAAAAAAAAAGTATACACCAAAATGAAGTGTTGCATGTTCAGGCTTGCTACTACCAGCGGTAAATAATAACAACTTTTATACGTGGTATTAGCCAGAAAACCATAATATATATATA